AAGACCCTGTGTCCTGGGATGCTGCTTTTGTGAATATTTCCAGAAATGTCCTGCAGACCAGATACACCCTGTTGCCATATCTGTATACCTTGATGCATAAGGCCCACACGGAGGGTGTCACTGTTGTGCGGCCTCTGCTTCATGAGTGAGTGTCCAGCAGGGATCCCGATGACTAATGGATGACTTACTGCATTCTACATGGTGGGAGGTGAATTCTTCCAAATTAAAGACATGATTGCTTTTTGACGTGAGCTCTTCAGGTGAAGACCATTTAGCATAGTGCTATACATGCCATAGGTCATTAATGAAAGGCTATTTATTGAATGAACAAAACTGAAATGATGCAGTACAGCATGGAATAATTTCTTTCTAATTTGGCTGTGCAAAGACCTATCTACCTTTTGTAGCAGTTTGGTTATATGTAGCCAGGTCACAGGATAAGGATTTCAGGAAGAGATTTGAGGGAAAAAGGCCATCCTTGCATTTAAAATGTGACATGGTTAAGAAATATGGTTAAGTATTTTACAGGACAGAACACATCTACATCTGAGCATTTTAGGCACATCCCGTGGGAAGAGCAGAGGCTGGGTGCTCCTGATGAAGCTAGGCCTAGGGAAAAAGCAAGGAAGGCTCAGGGGCAGCTGGATTTCCGACTTGGGTCTGAACTTGAGGAGCTTCTTCAGAGTCTCGGGCGGGGGCTCTGTTGGGCTCTGTTGGGCACCTTCATTTCCCTTTCCAGGTTTGTGTCAGACCAGGTGACGTGGGTGTTTCAGACAGGAGCAGATATCTGTGGGTTCTTTCAAGATGCTGAATATGAGATGTGTGTTCGCTGGATGCAGCTGGGGGCCTTTTACCCCTTCTCAAGAAACCACAACACCATTGGGACCAGGGTAGGACAATGGCTTCTACCTCCCGTGTTTCACTTGAAACACAACCTCCATTTCTGATCTAAAGTTAATGTAGTCTGATTTCCTGCGATATCTTTAAAAATTGTTTTTTCTTTTGAGACAGGGACTGTCTCTGTTGCCTAGGCTGGATCGTACAGTGTCCCAATCATGGCTGACTACAGCCTCAATCTCTGGGGCTCAAGAGACTCGCCCACCTCAGCCTCTTGAATAGCTGGGACTGCAAGCTCATACCAATATGCCCAGAACATTATTGTGTTTTGTACAGATGGGATCTTGCCATATTTCCCAAGCTGGTCTTGAACTCCTAGCCTCAGCCTCTGAAAGTGCTGGGATTACAGGCATGAGCCACTACACCCTTAAAAATTATTAAGCGCCGTGGCCTCAGTGAACCATATTCCTCTGTGTTTTTTAGATTATTATTATATTTTGTTCTTGTTGTTTAGGCAGAATTGTACCAAATGTACCCAGAAAGAATGTCTTACAGTGAAATTTCGTTAGCTGTCCTAGGAAAACTACAGTAACCTTTTCCAGTCTGTTAAGAATATTCTCTGGGCCTCATGTATGGTTATATTTTGTTTAGCTGTGAGTGATCTTCAACAGGAATATGCTTTCTTAAATCTCCTAGAAATTTCAGGGTGACCTCCCAACACTGTTCTCTTTCTCCTTTAGAGACAAGACCCTGTGTCCTGGGATGCTGCTTTTGTGAATATTTCCAGAAATGTCCTGCAGACCAGATACACCCTTGTCTCTTATACACATCTAGATGTGTATAAGAGACAGGGACATAGACAGTCAGTTCCTGCTGGGCCCAGCCTTCCTGGTCAGCCCTGTCCTGGAGCGCGTGAGTATGGAGGCCTCCGATGCGGGGAGGATCGCAGCTGTGAGGCTTGGGGAAAAGGACGAGGAGAGAGACCTGAGCTGGTGGGGGTCCTAAGACATGATTTCTTATTCTCCCTGTGTGTCTTCCTCCCCTTCTGAGCTGAAGTCCATCACTTAGGTGTTGTGGGCCTCAGCTCCTTCATCTTTAAAATGAGCCTAACAATTCTGGTTCATAGGATGATCAAGAAGAAAACACCTCATAGTGTATTAAATGACACAATCATTTCTTCGTTAACTAAAATAAGGAATAGAAGGTCAGATGGGGGCAGTGTCGTAAAGAATTTATACGAGTCCTCTAGCACTATTACAACTCTTCAGAAGGATTACTTGGCAATGTGTGTACTCATATTGCTGCTGGCTACCCCTTCCCTTCCTGTGCAGCAGCACCTCCCAGCAGTAAAAGCCATTTCTTTACTTCTGTTGTTGATTGGGCTTCTGATTAAAATACCAGTTAATTGCACCTCCTCAAAATCTTTTTTTTTTTTTTTTTTTTTTTGAGACAGAGTCTTGCTCTGTCATCCAGGCTGGAGTGCAGTAGCGCTATGTCAGCTCAGTGCAACCTCTGCCTCCCAGGTTCAAGTGATTCTCCTGCCTCAGCCTCCCGATGTAGCTAGGACTACAGGCGCCCACCACCATGACCGGCTAATTTCTTTTTTTTTTTTTTAGTAGAGTCAAGGTTTCACCATGTTAGCCAGGATGATCTTGATCTCCTGGCCTCATGATCCACCCTCCTCAGCCTCCCAAAGTGCTGGGATTACAGGCGTGAGCCACCCCATGCCCAGCCCCCAAATCTGATTGTACCCACAAAATTTTTTTCTGCCCCAGACACAATCTCAGTTGTTTGTCTCTTTAAGAGTGAATGGCGTAAGCCTATTTCTATAAGCAAATATTGATTTTTTTTGTTCCCGAAGTCCTGGATACCAAAGTGCTTTATGAATGCCACTTGTTTTGGGTAGACAAATCTCCCCTGTTTGAAAAAGAAAAAGGGGTGGAAAGTTTCCCCAATAGCCGACCTCCTGAGAGATGAAAGCAAGTGGGCCCAAGGCCATCACATTTATTTAACCTCTTTCCTAAGCAGTTTGGTTTCTCTCTCCTGGAAAATGGTGCCCACTGTCTTACCTTGTTTGTGTTTCATTTTAGAATGCCAGAAATGTCACTGCATATTTCCCTAGAGCCCGCTGGTACGATTATTACACGGTAAGTTTTTCTGAATGTTTATACAACATGGGAAAATGGTAGAGAAAGCAAAGGCTTTAGATCTGATGGACCTTAGGTCAAATGCTGGATCTGTAACCCACCTGCTGTGTGGTCTTAGAGAAGCCACTTTAACCCTTGTAACCTCAGTTTTCTCACCTCCAAGTGGGGTAAGACCACTTCCCTCATAGAACCCTTGTGAAGTAACACGTAAAGCATCTCACTGAGGGTCTGGATTTTTGTGGGTGTTCTCTTTGTGTTAGTTTTTAATATTTCCTTATATCACTGCTATTTACTACATTTTGTAAAGGCAGATGCTAGCAAACATTTGAGATTGTGTTGAAAACTATAGGTTTTGTTTTTAATGTTTATATATTTGCCTGCTGTAAGTTCGTAAGCATAGAGGCCTTTTTGTCTCTGTCTTTTTATTAAATATCTCCTTCCATAGCATAGATGCTCAAAGAAGGGTGATGCACATAATTACCTAAGGCACACAAGTGATTAGACAATGTGCAAAACACACACAGAGGTGTGGGACCCAACCCTTGTGAGTCTAAGCAGTGCAAGTACATTTAGAAATGAGGCAGCAATGAAGAGCTCCTTGCCGCATAGTTTCATTGCTAGTATGATTCCCAAAGACTCAGCTGGGAAGCCAGGGTCTTCCAGGGCAGCTCTGGGGTGGTGGTCTCTTGCTGGGACCCTGAGAACTCAGACCCTGATTCTTGGGGTAGAATCAAAGAAGGCATTTCCTTGGTCTCTAATGAGGCCTCTTCTTCTGACTTTCTGAGAACAAAGTTGAGGGCTGGCAACATAGCAAAGGGGTGCAAACAGGGTTACAAGAAGCAGAGCATGTGCTGGCCCCTTTCATCCAAGGGGATTGCAGTGAGATTAGGTGAAAACTGGAGAAGGATGTGCAATTTTGTTCCTTCTCTTCCCAGTCCATTGGAGCCCAAATCCTCCCCACTGCTCTAGACTCCCCTTCCTGTTGCTAGTCTGGATCTGCCCTTAGGGTGGTAACATGTTAAGGCTCTGCTCTGTGCTTCCCAGCCAGGTCTTCCCTAGGAAGAGTGGCCAGCTTTCTTTAAGTGAGACTGGCCTTTGTCCTGAGTGTGCATGTTGAGTCTCTCATTCAGTAACAGAAGATGTCTTTGGTTGAAGAGGGAAAGACACAAGAAATCATGGTGAAAGCTGTTTAGAAAAAGGTGAAATTTTGATGTTTAGTTAAAATGAAGATGAATTTTTTAGTTAGGATTAATGAAGAAGTGTCACCTTAATTAATCTTGCCAAGTTTGGATACCTATTACTCGTTCTAGAGCACAAGCTGGCAAACTATGGCCTACAACCATCTGATTGTTCGCTGATTTGCACATAAAGTTTTATTGGAACACAGCCATGCATATTTGTTTACATGTTGTCAACAATAATTGCTTCTTACCTGTAAAGTAGCAGCTCTTAAATGAGAGGATTTTGTCTACAGGGGACATTTGGCAGTGCCTAGAGATATTTTTTGTTGTCACAACAGGGTGGGGGTGAGGAGGAGATGCTGTTGACATCTGAGGATTCTGCTGAATATCAAAAGGCACAGATAGCCCCATCACCGGAGCAGTGTCTGGCCCCAAATCTCAATAGTGCTGAGACTGAAAAGCCCTGCTCTAGTTGACAACATGTAGGATGGAAGGATGGTCCCTTAGGTTAGGTTTCTGATTCAGGTGAGAGAGTAGCACCTCTTTCTGTCACACATCAGGCAAATGTAGTTTGTACAGTGGAAGCAAAGGCATAGGCCCTAACAAGATATGATAGCAGCCTTGTGAGATTTCATGCAGCACTGGGTGAACGCAGAATGGATAATGGCAGGTATGTGGCGAAGGGTGATGAGCAGGCATAAGTTCAGAGGGGAGGATGAGATGTCTGGCAGGATGCATTGTTCAGGGAGGGGCCTGTTTTCTCCTTCTTCATCTCTTACCTTCTTCTGCCCACAGGGTGTGGATATTAATGCAAGAGGAGAGTGGAAGACCTTGCCAGCCCCTCTTGACCACATTAATCTTCATGTCCGTGGGGGCTACATCCTGCCCTGGCAAAAGCCTGCACTGAACACCCAGTTAAGGTGAATGACAGGACTCAGGTTTTCCTTTACATGTCAGTTAGCTCAACAATCTGTAATGAAGTCCACCAAAACGTAAGCATCACTCTCAAGCCCGCATGCAATTTTACTCAACACTTGTTGTTCTTTGTGCTTGTTTGTACTTTAACCTTTTTCAGACTCTACCCTCTTCGACTAATTATTAACAGCTCTTTTATGTCTAAGGGAGTGAGATGATAGGTCTAAGAGTGTCATCTTTCAATCTCACGATTGAAATGGAAGTCAAAATAGGAGCAGCCATGATTCATAATAGTTTTAGTATACTATTGGGTCTAATTGAAGCTTTCCTAAGAAAACTATTGCTGAAAAATTGTTTATTCCTCTACAAGATGTTAAAATTCTAGATCAAAGTCTATGTATAAATTAACCATAAGTAACATCCAGTGAATGCTTGCCCTGTAACTAGAGCTATATGAATATGGGCATTTCCATGTGGAAATTATGTATTTTTTCTTAGCAAAAGGAAAACATAAATTCTGTGAGGTTAGTAGTGTTACCACCATTTATTTCATAGATGACCAAAAAGGCTAAGTGATTTGCTCAGAGTCACACAGCTAGTAAGTACATGAACGTGGACTAAAATTCACATCTCTCTGGTATCAATACTAAAATTCTTAGACTCCCTATTCATTTGATTCCAAAGATTTAAAGAAAAATGAAGGACTTCAGACATTTGAAAGTAGAACTCCCTCTACATGTTTTGGATATTAGGTCACGAAAACAGAAAGATTTCAGCATCAGGATTTTCCTCTCGAAAGGTAAAGAAAGAACCCAGTTGGTTTGGTTGTCGTTACTTTAAGAGCCTTAAAGGAGAATCCTCTTGATTCATTCACTAATTCATTTGTTCATGATATGAAGTCATATAGCCAGATGGAGACAGAATTGGAACTAAGTCACAAGTCTCTTGAGTTCTAGTATGCAGTCTTTATCCCCCAAAGCACTCCCCTTTGCTGCTTTATGTTTGTATATAAACTCTTGGTGTGTGGCTGTGGCTTTGCTTTTAGCTAATGCTTCTCTCCCACCTCACTGCAGCCGCCAGAAGTTCATGGGCTTCAAAATTGCCTTGGATGATGAGGGAACTGCTGAGGGCTGGCTCTTCTGGGATGATGGGCAAAGCATTGGTGAGTCGGGGTCACCTGGGATTCATGCTGATGGCACTGACTACATTCCTGGATTATCTTACAGGCCTGCTTTCACCTTTTCCCTGTTAAAACAGTTTTGCATTTTAAAATATAATCACTTGTTAATTCAAGTGTATAATCCACATTGGACATGATCTTTATTCCTCATGTAAATGAAGCTCAGTTCTGAATCACCTCCCATTATGCAACTGTTGTAATCTACTGTAGAAGGTAGCAATATGGGAGCCATGGGGAAAGTTTATCTGTAGCCAGTTGAGATAAAATTTCAGAGGATTTATGGTCAAGGACACGTTGCCTAATTACATGGTTTACTGTCCCAGTAAGAGGGGTAATACTTCTATCAATTGTATTTTTTATGGGATATTTTCTATTAGGAGTTTATAGGAATTGGTAAACTCTCAGGAGGATTGCTCAAGAAATTATTAGCTATTTCTAGACAAGTGCTGTCCAACAGAACTTTCTGCAGTGATGACAATGTTCTATATCTTCTGCTGTTCAATATTGTATCTACTAGGCATATGTGGCTATCGAGCACTTGAAATGTGTGACAAGTGCATCTGAAGAATTGAATTTTTAATTTTACTCAATCTTAACAAGCTTAAGTTTAAACAATTAAATTTTACTAGTGACTACTGTCTTAGCACGGTTGTAAGGGATAGCCAGTGGCAACTGACTGAGTGGTGAGTCATTTAGAAAGGGGCCAGCACGACCGGGCTCAGTGTGGCTCATGCCTGTAATCCCAGCACTTTGAGAGGCCGAGGCAGCCAGATCACCTGAGTTCGGGAGTTCGAGACCAGCCTTACCAACAGGGAGAAACCCCATTTCTACTAAAAATACGAAAAAATTAGCCAGGTGTGGTGGCACATGCCTGTAATCCCAGCTACTAGGGAGGCTGAGGTAGGAGAATTGCTTGTACCTGGGAGGTAGAGGTTGCAGTGAGCCGAGATTGCACCATTGCACTCCAGCCTGGGCAACAAGAGTGAGGCTCCATCTCAGAAAAAAAAAAAAAAAAGAAAGAAAGAAAGAAAAGAGAAAGAAAAAGAAAGGGGCCAGCACACAGGGAAGAGTATGACAGCCACGAGGGAAGGGTGTAGGATGGGAATACTTGAAACCAAACTGTTGACTAGTTCCCCTTCACTGGCTGTGCTGAACTCCATATTCTTCCTGGGCCTGTGGCACACATTTAGGATAAAGGACAAAGAAGCCTTTTCTTTGATCATCTTTGTTCTCTGGAGATCACATTTTTAAGTTTGCCTAATACCTCAAGAAAAACCCACCAAGACACCAGTGTCGGTGTTTATGTATGCATGTGCATATAAATGTGTGTGCAGACATGTGTACACACAGCAAAAGAAACCTGGAAATTCTGCGCTGATTAGGAAGATGCTGGGAATAGTAGACCACAAGGAAGAGAAGTGACTTAAAAATGGTGTCAGGAAACTGTTATATGAAGTGACTCTGTCACACAGATGCATCTATACACATTCATTTCAAACATTTTGTGCAAACTGAGTATGGGTGCAGGGTTTGATTAGTCTCCGTAAAGAGGACTTACATTTTAAAATAGAACACTCAAAAGACAGAAAATAAAAATGAAGATAAGCCTTACTCTCTCAACAAGTAACTTGGAAGTCTACTTCTCCAAGACAAGTAGAAAATTAGAAGAGTATTTACATATTCCATAGCACAGGCCCGGGCCATGTTTATCTTGTTGTCTGTTTGCAGATACCTATGGGAAAGGACTCTATTACTTGGCCAGCTTTTCTGCCAGCCAGGTGAGTGTGACTGATATGAAGTGAGAATAAGATTCCACTGGCTTAGGAGGATGCTGAATATCATAAGGGCATAAAATACCACCTAGAAATTCTTCATTGCTCATCTTGCTAATTCACATTCTTCTACTTCTCTAGACTTCTGGTGGAAATTTACTATGCTCCCAGGAGGCTTTCTGCAATTAAACGTATCCTCATCTCATCAGTAATGACCATTATTCCCGTTTACCATGTTACAGATGGATGGGCTGTTTCTGTTATCCAGCCCTTGTTCCTAAGTTACCTTGGAATGGTCGGCACATGTTGTGATTCCTCCACCTGTAGAATATAAGTATCTTGACAGCTGAGACTTTTGTCTCCTCTAGAGTTCAGGGCAGTGCAAAAGACCCTGCAGCTGCTTGTCAATGCAAAGTGGATGGGAGTTGGCAATAGGAGACAGAGTGATGAAATCATGGTTTCCGTGATCCAGAGACACAAGATGGTGACTCTGAAGTTGTCTTACTTTATGATCTACATTTGTGCCTAAAAAGAGGTTAGAAAAAACTTGAACTAATTCTGCTATTATCTTTTTTTTTATCTCCAATTCGACAGAATACGATGCAAAGCCATATAATTTTCAACAATTACATCACTGATACAAATTCTTTGAAACTGGGCTACATTGAAATCTGGGGAGTGGGCAGTGTCCCCATTACCAGCGTCAGCATATCTGTGAGCGGCATGGCCATAACACCCTCCTTCAACAATGACCCCACGACACAGGTTTGTGACTGGCGAAAAATGCGAATGGTATTTTCCACCCTTAATATGCCTAGTGCAGTGCCTGACTGCTTGCCTTCCAAATGATTCCCTCTCCTACCAGGCCCTCTGGGAATCCCTGAGTTTTCAGTGTGTTAGGAATGGACCACATGGAGATGAATGAAAAATCATGGTTTATCATCATTTGGAATGCATGGCCTGGATTCTTACTTTCCATGTTTGTCTTCTTGTCTGCAAACCTATGTAAAACTTTGTCTTGGCTCCCTCACCTCTGCCTCAGAGATCAACTTTCCAAATAGGTTGAACTATCATATTTTATCAAATATGATACCAAATATATCAAATATGCTTCATTATTTCATGTGCCACAAAGAAAGAAAAAAGGATGACAAAACTATGATAGAAGGCTTCCTTATCACTCATTTTTTTTTTTTTTTTTTTAAGACAGAGTCTCGCTCTGTTGCCCAGGCTGGATTGCAGTGGCATGATCTCAGCTCACTGCAAGCTCTGCCTCCCAGGTTCACACCATTCTCTTGCCTCAACCTCCCAAGTAGCTGGGACTACAGGTGCCCGCTACCACACCTGGCTAATTTTTTGAATTTTTAGTAGAAACAGGTTTTCACCATGTTAGCCAGGATGGTCTCGATCTCCTGACCTTGTGACCCGCCTGCCTTGGCCTCCCAAAGTGCTGTGATTACAGGTGTGAGCCACCGCGCCCAGCCTCAGATTTTTATAATAAACTTATAGAAAGTTGTTGAAACTTCTTTAGACATAAATTTTTAGCTATATGTTTCAATATTGTAGGTGATAATATGGAGGAAAGTGTTGAGTGGAGACACGTTGCTGATTCTGCCTCAAAGTAATTTAGAAGAGGTAGACCCTAAATGTGAAGAAGCACCAGAAATAGCTTAACCAATTTGTATCATATTTAAATTGTACTATTTAAATTTGTGTTAAACTGTTTTATTTTATTATTTAAATGGTTTATTGTATTTATTATTATTTTGAAGAAAAATCTGTGTTAGTAAGATATTTCCTCTGTACTGCAAAAGGTGGTGATTCAGCACTTTATAAAAATCCTTCCACTAGTGTCTATGAAGTTTTTTCCTGAGCCACTGACACACTTTATGTACATTTTTATCCTAGTGCTTTCTTGATCTTACTAACTATTCCTTTCTATAATAATCCTTAAATGTTTTCAGCCCATCCATTCATAACACAGTAATAGCAATGAAGCTTACACGGGCACAGACAATAATGATTATGCCATGAGTGCTGCCTGGCTCACAGTATTCTATGGTTATCGATTACAAGACACACTCTGGTTGCATGAAAAATCTCTACCTTGGGATTAATGCAGTGTAGTGGTCCTGACACTTATCATCCCGATGGTAAATGAAACTTTCTTCCTTGTGTGTTTATTTATTATTTTTTTCCTGAACCTTTTTTCTTTCATAATCCTTCCTGATGATTAAACCTGAAACAAAAGTTTTCTTTCAGTTTTGCATTCTTTACATTTATTTCCTCATACTTGTGGTTTTCTTGTCAACAACTTCCCCAACTATGCCTTAAAGGACTTTGCCCAATCCTGCTGCTGACCAGCTCATGGACAGATATGCAAGTTGATGAGGGCACATGCAGTGAAACCTTCTTGGCAGCATCTGCCTAGGAAGAAGCAGGAATAGTGGACTCTTGCTGGGCAAACACTGGGGTGGATAGAGGAATAGGAGAAGAAGGAAACAGAAGGGTGGTGCCAAGAAAAATCAGCACCTCCGAAGAATGGAAAAGAGGGCGTTCTCTCCAGTTTGTGCAGTTGTTTCTCTTCAGTGGTTGCATATTGAACTTTTTTTTTTCTTTTTTTTGTTTTTGTTTTTACACTGAGTCTCACTCTATTGCCCAGGCTGAAGTACAGTGGTGCAATCTTAGCTCACTGCCGTCTCCACCTCCCGGGTTCAAGTGATTCTCCTGCCTCAGCCTCCCGAGTAGCTGGGATTACAAGCACCCACCACCATGCCTGGCTAACTTTTGTATTTTTAGTAGAGCCGGGGTTTCACCATATTGGCCAGGCTGGTCTCAAACTCCTGACCTCAAATGATCCAACTGCCTGGGCCTCCCAGAGTGCTGGGATTACTGGTGTGAGCCACCACACCCGGCCCATCTCTACCATTTAATATTTTGAATGGTAAACATAAAATATTAAAACATAATTTAAATAAATCTTGAATTAGTTAAAGGCCATCTCTACCATTGAATATTCTTTGTACTCTAAAAAATTAGAAAACACTTTTCTCATCTGAAACTTTGAGGGCAATCTTTTAACTAGACAGTACAATATAGAAGTATTAGGGGGTTATTTGGACCGTATACTTGCACCTAATTTATTTGCATGCAGTAAATTTCAATACCAGATGCCCAATTCTTTTCCTTTGGTTCCTAACAGGTATTAAGCATCGATGTGACTGACAGAAACATCAGTGTACATAATTTTACTTCATTGACATGGAGAAGCACTCCGTGAATTTTTAGAGCAAGATTCTAACTATGAACGACTTTGAAACTACTTCTACTTCATGCTCATAAAAATTATTGTGTGTTGCTAATTGGTTCATACCCACTGTTGGTGAAATATTTTTGTTAATTTTGTTGTATGTTTTATGTGTGAACCCCAAAGGTTAAATCTTAGCCCTGTGGGATGGGCAGTTAGGGAGGTGTGGAAAATCTATGCATTACCTGAATGTCTCTATGTGGTTAGTATGGTAGTGATTGTTCATCATATGACATTGACTGAAGATGAACTGGGTCCATGATGAAGTATGTGTATGTCCATGTGTGTAATCATGGAATGGACCCCACTCTCTTGTTAAACACACAAGAAAAAGCTTTCGGTGGCAGTTCCAGGTCTTGAAGCTAATCAGCATCTCAAGAAAGTATCCAGAAAGAACATCTGCTAGTTGATTATAGGCAGCAGGAGGAATAATACACCTAATTGGTTATAGGTGGGGGGAGCATGATAAGCAAAGAAAAGGCAAACACAAGGAAAGATCAGAGGAAACAGAAGATGATAGTAAAAGTGATCATAGTAAGAACATAATGTGAAATTATCAACAGCCTCATGGGGAGGAAAAAGGAAGAGTCAACTCACCTGAGAGAAGAGGGTCTTGCGAAATCTTTAGCATAAAGGGCTAGTGGTGAGATTGAGATCTGAGCAGGCAAAGCTGAAAAGAGAGTTTGGAGGTTAAAAATAATTTATTTTTGCAGTGGTGTGCTTTGAAGTGTGTAAATCTTATTTCTAATGTATATAACCACATTTCACATAAAAATATGCAATTTATATGCCAGATAAAAATAAAACAAGTGAATTTGCAAGTAATTTTGAATTTTGTGCTATTTTGAACATGAGTAATCTCTGTTTGGGGTTAAGGTTGTTGTTTAGCAAACTCTTACGAGTTTGTCTTTCTGGTTCTCTTTGGCATCACAGAACCTGCAGCCAAATCCACCAATAGGATGATAACCTTTATAATTGTCTTTTTCTTACATCTCTGCAAGGAGTCTTTTATAAGATGGAGGTTTGTGGAAGGGTCTATTGATTACTATTTTAATCATCATAGCAATTGCTAAATTTAGGAAAATACCAACTCCGGTAAAAATAGGAGTTGCAACCCTCTTGCTTAAAATTCTATAGGGTTAAAATTTGAGATAAGGAAATTATATGTTAATGTTCAACAGGAATATTAACTTTTGATGTTACCTGAAAATGAATGTGTTTGGAATGAGTGAGTCTGCTTCCCTGTGTTTTCTTCTTTTCTTATGACCAGGAAGTCATTCATTCTCCCTGCACACTCACGTGTCAGCGCCTGCGTAAGGCTAGAGACAAACAATATTGTTAAATCATGTGATTATCACAATAAGGGGCGTTTGGATGAGGGCCTGAGCTAACTAGAAAACTGGTGAAATATGGAAAACCGGCCATGGGAATCCTTTGGTCAAAAAGGTGGGAAACTTGTCAACTCTAACAAACTCAGGAAGGTCACAATGATGAAAACATTATTTACTTGATATTTAAGAAATATTTAATGTTACCATCAAGGATATATTGATGGAATTTGGCTCTGGCTGCCACAAAGTGCTTAAGGAGAGGCATTCTGACTACATAAATCTGACGGCCAAGGCCCTAGTGAGGCCAGTGGGTGTTTGGAGCATGTGAAGTGTCAGGGACCCCACTGACAGCCTAGTGAAACCTACAGAATTCCTCCTCACAACATTGCTTTTAAATGCATCAAGCAAAATGCATGCTATTTCAAAGAAAACTTATTACAAGATACTTATCCAAATATTAAAGAAAAATTGATATAGTAACCCATGAGATGTGTTTTTTCATTATCAAATTAAATGAAAAGATCCAATAGTGGAAGTAACAATGCCATAATTTCAATGTAATGATCAACATCAACAATATTTTGAGATATCCACTAAAATCTCGTAATGTAGAAAGAGCTGTGATTCCACTTTTGACAAATTCATGCTCTGTGAAAACTACTGTGCTCTGTTGTCTACATTCATAACCTAACAAAATGCTAAATTTCAGCCAGAAATGTATGAAATACGGTTGGAACCAATATGGCTTGCCGGAGTTAACGCAGAGAGAGCTTGCTGATGTCACAGCCTGAATTTCCACCACAGTTTCATACTAACTCCCTCCCAAATTTGCACATGAGACCCATGATGAGGCCTGAAAAGATAACTGTGCATGCCTGAGGACTTTCTAGATCTCCCCTTTCTTTCACCAATCACCTGCTAATCCCAGCATCCATCCCCTAAGCCTTTTCTGATAAAAATACTTCCTTAAAGCCAGCACAGGAAGACAGGTTTGACCTGGACTCCTGTCTCCTGTGAGTTGACTTGCAATAAAAACCTTTTCTTCAAAACCTTTCGTCAGAGTATTGGCTTCTAGCACATTGAAGAGTGAGCCCTTTTGCTCAATAACACCCCCAGAGGTGGTTCCTCAGACCACACTCTGAGAACCACCTCTCATGGAACCATATCCATTTGTGGCCATCCCAGAGCAGCCCCTACAACATGGACCTATGCTTACAACTCCTGGCCAGCTATTCAGGAAGAGGCTGAGGGCCTTCCTTTTCCGCATATGCTCTGTTCTTCAGATCACATAATTTTACTTTCTTTCTTCATAGGTGTGCCAAAATAAAAAATAACACTCTCAAACTCTTTCACTTAAATAGGAAGACATCTATTCCTTTCTTATTAATGTTATAACATTAAATGTCATATATACCTACAAAGATAAGGTTTTGTTGGCCGTGGCAGATATCATCAAGATCCCAACAATATTTCTTTGTTCTTATCATAGCAGCAGAGTCATTGAGAGTTTTGCACCTGGCCTTGGAGAATGGTGTTCTGGAACTTAGGGGTGACTCATATTACAAGTTTCTGATGTGATGATTCCAACCAGCAGCTTGCTTTGACAACTGTTTGAGTTTCACCAAGAGCTAACTTTACTGTGCCTTGTTACCGATAGACAACCGGAAGATGTCGGGTCACGTGCCTGTCTCTACCCTTCAAAGTGGCTCTGTTATTTTCTCGTTGGTCAACACCAGTGTGGTGATCCAATATCTTCCAGTTAGTTAGCAAGAAGGGATGGTGAAGGTAGCTATTTTCTGCGCTTTAGGAAACAGGTTATAGATTAGCTGGGATTGTTGGTTACCACTATTACATAAAAGAAGTCACAAATGTGCACGGCATGTGGGGAGTTAAAGGTAAAATATCACACAAAGAATAGAAAAAGCTTATGTAACAATAAATCTCCCTTCTTGATCTTGCCAGGATGTCTTCCCAATTGGAAATGAGATCTTGGTATGTTTCCCCTCTAACAAAGGCCACCTTGTACTGGGGCAAATGAAAAGCGGAATATGTCATTCCAGGAGTTCATAAATGCAGAAACCTAGTCTCTCTCTCTCTCTCTCTCTCTCTGTGTGTGTGTGTGTGTGTGCGTGTGTGCACGCGTGCATATGTGTGCTTTTCCATATACTGAGCATTTGAAGCAAACACAAAGGATTCACTGCTATGAACACTGTTATTTACAGTTCTTAGGTGCCACCAAAAGAGCCCTCTGTATTACTCATATATTACTGGCAGGAATGGGGATGTAAAATGATGCTGCCACATTAGAAAGCAGTTTTGTAGTCCTTCAAAAAGTTAAAGACTTATCACATGACCTGTGATTCCACTCCTAGGTATGTTCCAGGCAGAATTTTAAAAAAACATGCCAGCTCGTAGCAGCATTGTTCATAACAGGCAAAAAGTATCAACAACCTAGATGTTTATCAACTGATACGTGGATAAACCAAATGTGGTCTATCCATGCAGGGGATACTATCCAGACATGGAAAGGAACAAATACTGATACCTGAAATGGCATTGATGAACTTTGAAAATATTATGCCAAGTAAAAGAAGCCAGACACAGATGGCCACATATTGTATGACTGCATTTATATGAAATGTTCACAGTAGGCAAATCCATAAGGACAGAAAGTAGGTTAGTGGCTGCAGAAACGGGGAGATGGGAATGGAGAGTGACCACTAATTATTTTTTGGGGGTGTGACAAAAATATTCTGGAATTAGATAGTGGTGATAGTTTCAGAATTTTGTAATATTTAAAAAAAAACACTGAATTGTATACTTTAAAAGAGTGAATCTTATGGCTTGGAAATTATATGTCAATTTAAAAAATCCACTTTAGCTAGCTTAAGAAAACTTTTAAAAAGATATTGGTGACTCATTGAAACTCCAGTAGGACTAGAGAGTCAGGTTTGTAGGCCATGTGGCTAAGGACAAACCCCAGGTTACCCTGTAGGGGTTTCTACTGCCACTGCCCTGAGCACATATCTGGCAGCTTGCAACCCCAAATACTGAGCATAGGATGCCCCTAGGTCTCTTGTCCCTGCTGCCTCTGAAACGAGCTATCTTTCCAACATCCTGAGTTTTACACGGTACCTCCTTATCTACACCTTCTTCTGGATGTAAGTCACTCAAGGGAATATCTCATTCACAAAGCTCCAGTCACTTGCCTCTACCTTGGGTGAAAGAGAGGCTGTGAAAGAGAATTTCCAGCTGTTTCTTTGGGGAGGCAGGATTTGGAGAAAAATTCCTTAAGTTGATTTAAGTAAGAGGTTTTTGTTTTTTGTTTTTTGTTTTTTTTTTTGTCTTTTTAAGGATCCTCTGTTTATAATTTTTTTTCAACTTTTATTTTAGATTCAAGGTCTACGATTCAGGGTGCGCATATACAGGTTTGTTTCAAGGGTATATTGTGTGGGATGCTGAGGTTTGGGGTGTGATTGAACCTGTCACCTAGGTAGTGAGTAGATAGTGTTTCAACCCTTGTCTCCCTCCCCACCTCCCCCATCTTAGCAAGAAGTTTTGAAAGATGCTGAGCCATCAAAGAATGTGACAAATATCCACTAGAGGCGTCTTCCCACTTTAGGTGTGTATACTTTCTTTCTTTTTTATTTTTATTTTTTGAAATGGAGCTTTGCTCTTGTTGCCCAGGCTGGAGTGCAATGGGGCAATCTCAGCTCACTGCAACCTCCGCCTCCCGAGTTCAAGTGATTCTCCTGCCTCAGCCTCCTGGGTAGCTGGGATTACAGCCCCCTGCCATCACGCCTAGCTGTAGAGACAGGGTTTCACCACATTGGCCAGGCTGGTCTCGAACTCCTGACCTCAGGTGATCTACCCGCCTCGGCCTCCCAAAGTGCTGGGATTACAGGTGTGACCCACTGCGCCCGGACAGGTTTGCATAATTTCTACCTTAATGGTGCTTCACTATTTAGAATAATTGGTAGAAAGGATCATTTGAATTAATGAAAAGCTGAGTTATACCAAGAGAACTCTGGAGGATGAAAATGGAGAAAAGAACAAAGTGATGAACCGAGAGCTAATCCTTCTTTCACTTACTTATTAAATAAATAGCTATACATTTAAAAAGAACTATAGATATTGGGCAGAGTGCTAAGCACAGGAGATACAACAGTGAAGAAGATAGACAAGACCCTAGCTCTTGAGCCCTTTAGGCTACATGTACAGATGAGGAAGCATAACTTGACAATCAGAGTAATCAGATATGAACAGGGATACAGAGGAGGGACAATGATTAGAAAAAACACCACCTTCCCCTTTTATTAACAAAAGGAGTTTTCATTCTACGTCACATGGAGAGCAAGGGTTCTTTTATGATCTATTGGAATATGCACTCCCCTCCTCCAGTTACTGTCAACTTTATAGGGCAATAAATTAATCGTGGCAGAAGCTGGCTACCTCGGCCCAGTTACCTTTGCTCAGTGCTTCCTATGAAC